GCGGGTCTCGAACCCGCAGGCTCAGGCAGTCCACTCACTTTGGCCTCCCAGAGCGCTGGGATTATAGGCTGAGCCACCGAGCCCGGCTCTGGCTCATTTTTAAAAATATTTTTTGTAGGCCGAGTTCGGTGGCTCAGCCTATAATCCCAGCACTTTGGGAGGCTGAGGCGAGTGGATTGCCTGAGCCCGCAGATTCGAGACCAGCCTGGGAAACTTGGCAAGACCTCATCTCTACAATAAATCAAAAATTAACTGGGCGTAGTAGCATGCACCTGTAGTTCCAGCTGCTTGGAAGGCTGAGGCAGAAGGATCGCTGAAGCCCAGTAGGCTGAGGCTGCAGTGGCAGGGAGTGTGCCACTGCACTCCAGTCTAGGTGACAGAGTGAGACTCCAACTCAAAAAATAAATAAATAAAATAAAATATTTTTTGTAGTGATGGAATCTCACTGGGTTGGCCAGGCTAGTCTCGAACTCCTGGCCTCAAGCACTTGTCCCACCTCAGCCTCCCAAAATGCTGGGATTATAGGTGTGAGCTCTGTGCCCAGCCTCCCAAGGCTTTTTTTTTTCTTTTTCTTTTTTTCCCCCCGACCTGCTGGGCTCAGACTGTCCTCCCGCCTCAACCTCCCGAGTAGCTGGGACTACAGGCGCCACCATACCTGCAATGTTTTAAAATTTTTTGTAGAGACAAGGTCTCGCTATGCTGTCAAGGCTGATCTTGAACTCACGGATTCAAATGATCCTCCTGCCTCGGCCTCCCAAAGTGGTGGAATGACAGACGTGAGCCTCTCCGCCCCCATCCCACATGAACTTACATAGGAAGGAGTCTGTTTCTCTTCCCCACGTACTTGGTTTCATCTCTTGGTGACGAGGACCTCCCACAGGAACAAGTTCAGGAAAAAAATCCGTGTCACTCGCAGCGCTCTGCCTGCCACGGCCACTGTGGTCGTGTTATCACGGGAAAGAACGTCAGCAAATCCCTGGGCTAGCTGGGGGCCGTGTCAAAGCCTTGGGTGCATGACCATGCCCTCTCCTATCCGTGCTCAATGGCCATCACGGGGCCCCGTGGCCAGCCCACCCACACAGCTGCGTGTCCTCCTCCCTGTCTGCAGTTCCCGCTGCATCCACCTCGGGGCTACCCCTCACCGTCCCCTGGGCCTGGAGTCCTTCCTCAGGTCTCCGCCTCTTTACTCTCACTCTGATGTCAGCCCTGAGTCACCTCTTTTTTTTTTTTGAGTTGGAGTCTCTCTCTGTCGCCCAGACTGGAGTGCAGTGGCCGCTCCCGGCCACCGCAGCCTCGACCTGCTGGGCTCCGGCGATCCTTCCGCCTCAGCCTTCCGAGTAGCCGGAATTCTAGGCGTGCGCTACCACGCCCGGCTGATTTTTTGATTTATTGTAGAGATGAGGTCTCGCCAAGCTGCCCAGGCGGATCTCGAACCCGCGGGCTCAGGCAATCCCCTCACCTC